TCACCCGAGGCTTTCAGGCAAAGGTTCCGGTATGCTGAAAAGGGGAATGAGTCACACGTTGACTTCGCGTTTCGTCTTAAGGCCGATTTCATTGAATGGCTCAAGGGCGAAGGTGTTTATGACGACCGCGATAGAGTGGTGGAATGCGTTGCATTGGAGCAATTCTACCGCTGCATCGAGGATAATGTCAGGCTTTGGCTGCAGGACAGACTTGGTGAAGTACAGCTAAACAAGGCAGCAGAGTTAGCTGAGGAGTATTATACTCGCCGAAAGTTGCATAGCAGGGCAGTGCACGTGGAAAAGGATGAAAGGAAAAGAGGGCTTTTCAAGGAAACCTGATCAACGGAGACCCGCTGCGCACCGTAATTTCAAGAAGGACCCGTGTCTTACGAAGGACAGTGTAGGGGAAGGGCAAACAGAAGCGGAGAAATCGAGTGAGGTTTCTACCACACAGGCATTTGAATCGGAAAACAAACGGAAGCCGCTAATCTGCTACAACTGCAAAAAGGAAGGACACATCGCGAGAAACTGTCAGGAAAAGTTTGCCTTCGCAACAATCCGAGAATCAGAAAAAAACATGCGGTTGTTGGAGCCGTATCTCCAAGAAATTAGGGTGAATGAGAAAACGTGCCGAGCGCTTAGAGACTCAGCGGCAACCATGGACGTTGTCCATCCTTCATTGGTGTCTCCGGATGACTTTACAGGAGAATGCGCGTGAATCAGGCAAGTCGCCGAGGAGCAGAGTGTTCGCTTACCAATCGCCACGGTTGTCATTGAAGGCCCGTTCGGTAAGCTTCGCACCGAAGCGGCTGTGTCTGCCGCGCTAAATGATCGTTTTCCTTATCTTTTCTCCAACAACTCAGAGCAGCTTCTCAAAGAGCAGGGCAAATCGTTCTTCCCCAACTTAGCGTGCATGGCCCTCACGCGATCGCAAGCGCGGAAGCTATCGCGGCAGCTTGATCCGGTTCAATGCAGTGAACTCTCAAGTGACCTTGTCGGCGGGTCGACGGAACTTCCGAAAGGAAATTTTCCGCATGAGTCATGTGAGCGGTCACGCGAACGGCCCGTCGCGGAAGCCGCCGGCGAGGTATGCGTAGGGGGAGACGACATGGCGCCATTGAGTCAGAGCGAGAGGGTTGCAACGCTCTCGCCTGTAGCGGAAAGTTGGAGCGAGCTGCCGAGAGTTGATCAAGAGACGCTCATTCGAGAGCAGCGTGAGGATCTCTCGATTGAAGCGCTAGTGGAAAGCCACAAAAACGCGGCACAAGTGCTGTCGAAGGAGCACTACGAGAAATCGGTGAAGAAGCGCGCTTTTGAAGTTGATAATCAGGTAATGCTGCTGCAGCCGTCCAAAAGGAACAAGCTTGAGATTCATTGGGAAGGGCCCGCCAAAGTGATATCGAAGCTTCCCGATACGAATTATGAAGTGAAATTAGGAAGGCGGCGGAACAAAATTTATCACAGTAACTTGAAAGCAGTCGTAAATTTACTTTTAAGTGCTTCAGAGGAAGAGGGAGCGGAAGCTTTGAGTACTAGTGAGGTAATCGAAGGGGGGTCGAAAGTAATCTGGAGAAATAAACCTAGAACCTAGGTTAAGTGAAGCCCGGAAGGAGGACCCGAGAAGGATTGTTTCCGAGTTTGGAGACGTGTTTTCGGACCGCCCCGGAAACACGAGGGTGATCGAACACGATATCGAGCTAAGCGGTGAGGAGTCAATCCGTAGCAAGCCGTATCGTTGTTCCCCTGTGCAACGTCGCAAGTGTGAGCCGCTCTTGGTGCCGCATAGGTATCGTCGCCTAGAAGTGGCCGGTTACTGAGGTGGAGCATGTTGCTCCACAGCGCAACTTTGACGTTCGCTATCAAAAAAAAAAAAGGGAAAGCTAAACGCTAATGCAGGTGCATTGAGCAGTGCGTTCTAGCTAGTACCTTCTCAACCTTTCGGTTTCTCGCTGGCGATTCGGGGCAAAATTTTGACCTCATCACGACCTAGGCTGAGCGCTCTCGTTCAGAGTGATCTCAAGGGACCAACTTTGTGGTATTCTAATTCGTTGCGTTGTTGTACGTGTGAAAAATTTGAGTTGTCATTTTAAGAGTCTTGTGTCCCACATGTGCCTCTTGATGTAGAGGGAACGAAATTCCGATAGACACATAGCTAGGTATATGTTGTACTATACTTTGTCTGGTGTTCTGTCGGATGACCGAGGGCACTTGCTTGTGTCGTGTGTTATCTGTTGTCGAACCGTTCTTGACAAGTTGCAGAACCATCGACAAGTGCTGAAACCAAAGATCGTCAGAAGAGACGAGCGAAGCTGGTCGACAAGTTGTGACGACAAGCCAGTGAAGCTGGGATCCGTCCTCAAGAATGGAATGTGTTCTCGGAACGGAGTCTGGAGCTACATTCTCCCCATGGCCCTGGAGGCAAACCTGGAGGGACCTGGCGAACGAGCGCGCCTGTCATCCGAGCCCCGTGGAAGCAGCTCGTCTTTCCGGCGCATTGTCTGGCGGCGGGGGTGGTGTTATGCCTGCGAGTCCACAGCGGACGTCCGTGCCTCTGAAAAAGGCTATCTGTGTCAAGGCCAGCCCGCGTCGCCCGCCTGACGCGATCAACAACTCAACGGTGCCTTCCTGTCTGGCGGGATCTGACGCAATGCCTTGCGACGTCACTCGTCCTTGGGTGCAGCCACCTGCAGCGCAGCCTCTCCAGATTTGAGGAGAAAGAAGGACGCGGCCCAGCGGCGACCTCATTGGAGGATTCTGACCCCGCGGCCAGCGGCGCTTCGGGTTGGACGTTTGGGTGGGACCCGGGGCATATAAAAGAAGCCCTGCGGCGCGTCGAGAGACACCACCCCTTTGACAGAGACCCATTTGAGAGTAGAGCCATGTGTTAGAGAGAAGAGCTCGGCTCTTCGAGTCTTTGTCGGCCCCAGTGCCGAATTTGTAACGCCTCTGTATATATGCTGTACATAAACCTTGTTTAACTCACTGTCGTCTCGTCCGCTCGTCTATCAGCTCGGCGCAGAAGCAGTCGCGAGCTGAGAAACCTACGCTACCAAACGGCTGGTGACCTTCCCTGCGGAGTTCGAAGCAGTGGCGCCTTCGGGACCGTGTTGGCGTCGCCGTCTTTCGCAACAGTGGGTAAAAATACCGTTCGATATAAACTTACGAGAAATTTCAACTTACAAGTTCGATATACCCAAAAATTCGATATATCTGGGTTTGATATTATATCTGGGTTTGATATTACCGTACTTGGCTGTATTCCAAAGCATTTTAGTTGTTGTACAACTTATACTTTTTGGAAAGAGCGTTTAACTGTGCATGATGTATTATGCTACAATGTATGCTGCAGTGCTTTTCAAACAGGCAATAACTTTATTGCCGAGACATAATAAATAACCATTTTCTCACTATAACGAAAGAGTTCAACCACGTTCACAATGAACTAGTGCCGTTCCACTGATTCACGGTACCACCACATGTAATCAATCATAGTTGCATGCAGCACTTCGCTTACTTCACGCTTATTCGCACAGGCCGTTTGCAGTGTAATGCATGCAAACGTGCGTGCATTCTTTGTGCATGCTTCACTCTGAATTGTGCTCGGGTGGGGCGAGTAGCCTGTCTGTTCAACACGACAAAAACATGCATTTAGCAAGTGGCTTCCCCAACGCAGAGGCAGCGAATTTGCAAATGGCAGCATGACGTGCGTGTAGCTGCGTCACTCAACGCCGTTTAGGCACAAGTAGCCGAGTGGATATCTGCAGATGACTGTGATCAGGTTGGTGGCAATGAGTCAAAACTGCACGTTCATTGCTACTGGCCACCTCATCTTCGCTTTTTCTGACGCTTATCTGTTGAGGCGCTGCCACAAGCGCTTGGAAGTCATTATCCTTGATCGACCTGTATCTGCCGTTACCGAGAAGAGGAAGATTCTTTGCGGCACGTAATGGTGCTGGCGAGTTGCAACAAAAGGTTATCGCTTTTGGCATTTATGGCTGTTTGCATTCGATAGCATTGTTTGGTTAATCATCGGTGCTCATAGATGCAGAGAACAATGTCAGCAAAGTTCTTTTTTCTTTATTCTTTTTTGTTCGCTGCAAGTGAAGAAGCGCCTCGCTCGCGGCATTCGAAATCTGCATGCGGCCCTCGCCATAGTCAGGGATGTCTTCGCTGCAGCAAGGCATGTGCGAGCGTGCACCTCTGACATGCTTTTAACTACACCATATTTTTGCCCCAACTATGTTGGAAGTGCTTGTAGTAAAAGTAGGAGGCATTAAAAAATGTTCACTATATGTGGGCAGTTTCATTGTGTCGCATAGGAAAATCGTAAGTGTACTGAGATATGAATGTTATAACTGATAGGACGTTATATCAGGGATCGTCATAAGTGGGCCACTGTAGTTACTTCCACTACAACTTCCTCAGCTTGATCACTGTCACCATAGGCATGCACAGGGTTCCCCTTCAAGGGGAGACGAAGGTGCGTCACAGCGCCCCCCCCCCCCCACCTACTCAGCTGACTGGGGGGCAGCTACTCCTCCCCCCCCCCCCCCCACCACTATGAGCATGCCTATCATTGTCCCAGGGATCCAGCTTCGATATATGCGCGTCAAGGTTTGCAAAGGAGGGTATGTAGCCAATGCTTCCCTCCACACATATTTGGTTGGCAATATACAGTTGGCCTGTCCTGTGCCAACTGTTTATTTTCAACCAACTATGGAGAACAACCGAACATGGAAGAGGGCTTTGCCCTACAGTGGACGTAGTCAGGCTGATGGTCATCATTATGAAGGCATATTGGGTTGAGAATAAAAGCCACGCGGTTAGTTGCTTACTGGGCAGCTTTGTGGATGCATCACTCTTGCATGACTTGAGCTTGTATCAGCAAAGCCCACTTCAAGTAGCAGTGACCCTTCAGGTAATGGGAGGTTACCATGTCACACATTTAAATTTACCTGGGCACTAAAACAGGGCAAGACATGTCAGATAAAACCACTCACCTGTCCAATTAGCTTCTTGTAGGGCTGCAAGTGCTCACGAAGGTTGAGGTGCAGCACATGGCCAATCAAACTGTAACCCGAAGCATCTGGTTGGCCAATTACGGCACGCAGTATGTCTTCACTCGTCCAGTTATCGTAAGTGAGTGACACCTGCCGCTCCCCAAGCACAGAGACCCCTGCTTGTGAGAGTGCAGCCTGAGAAGCCAAGTCGATCTCATTGAACGTAGAAACCTGCAACAAACGTGTCACATTCTTTCAGTGAACAAAGTGGGGTAATATACAACCGGGTTGGGCCTTAACAGTCAGGCTGCTGTTCAGTATATTGTAAAATATGAGCATGACCGCAGTAGACAATGCAGTAAACCACTGAATCTATTCATATACGAAGCAGGTGAATAGAGCAGTGCTTCAGATGGTATCAGATGAGATAGTGCTGATGTCTGCATTCAGCGCCGTGTCTTGGTCTTCATCTTGTCCAGTCTTAAGTGATGTTTTTTGTAGAGGTGTGCAAATAAACAAAGTTTCAAATATTTTCCAAATAATGTTTTCTACTTGACTCGATTCGCAATGGCAATTTTTACTATTCGAACTTCTCAAAGACACTTCAGTGAATGTTCAATTGAAAGTGACCTCTTCTGATCTTTAATATGCTTTACCTAATCCAATTCTCATTTTCTGGCAAAGCTGCTTTTCGAGATTCGCAACATTTTACCATTTTAAAGACAAAAATGTACTTGAACTGTCGAAAACGTGCGAACAGTCCGTCATGTGCATCTTGTGGCTCTTGAGAAGTGCTTGAGCATTTTATTTTGCACTGTCCCGCGTTCGTTACTCAGCATGTTTGTGACCGACCATAAACGATTAGACGAGGCCCTTTGAGCTCTTCTGACTTTTATGAACCAAACGAATATGACTGCTTGCTTACATACAGAACTTTTTTTAAAAGAGAAATACTGTTCTTAGTCGATGTCCGGGATACGTGGTAACGCTGGTTGGGCAACATGAACGGATTCACGCCTGAGAAATCTGGAAAATCCCACCACCCGCTCACTACAAATGGAAGCCACAGTGGGAACAACAGATATCTGTGTGGTCAACATTATAATTTTGTGTGTGCTATTCAGAAATGGAGAAATCCTAATGTATAAACACCCCTCCCAGTAAAAGACGAAAACAGCAGGACAAGTGGTGCGCGCATTACGCTAGTTGATTGATTGATATGTGGGGTTTAACGTCCCAAAACCACCATATGATTATGAGAGACGCCGTAGTGGAGGACTCCGGAAATTTTGACCACCTGGGGTTCTTTAACGTGCGCCCAAATCTGAGCACACGGGCCTACAACATTTCCGCCTCCATCGGAAATGCAGCCGCCGCAGCCGGGATTCGAACCCGCGGCCTGCGGGTCAGCAGCCGAGTACCTTAGCCACTAGACCACCACGGCGGGGCGCGCATTACGCTAGTCATATCACTGTCGTGTGAAACTTTGTGCCTATAAAAGGCGGCGGCTATACTACCACCTCAAGCGTTACTTAACACAGAATGCTTTAGTAACAAGCGATGGTAAACATACCTGAAGGACTTCGCAATTTTTCTGCGGAACTTCATGCGTGAAACGAAAATGTGAACAGCATGCTTGAAATACTGAAATGATGATACCAATGACATCTAAAACACAACCACTCCCCTAAGTACTAAAACGAACAATAAAATCATTAACATATCTGCAAATACTGACTATACGGTGATCATCGAGGCTTTGGCACAAGCGTCCGTCAAAATTAGCTAAAAAAGAATACTGCATAGCACTGGAGCAATACAGGATATACATATACCATTTTTCTGTAAAAACAATTGGCCATCGAAGGTGACCAAAATTGCCGACAAAAGTTTAAAAGTTTAATAAAGTTCTTAGCTGAAAGGCCGCATGCACCTTGAAAAGAGGTCTCGCCATGCGATTCAATGGCCTCGCCCAGAACTGAAAACAGTTCTTTATGGGGTGCAGAATACAGCTCTTAAATGTCAACAGAAAACGCTGTGTTTGCTACCAGCTCGTCCAGCCTCAGAGCCTCAACCAGCGCACTCGAGCTGTCAATCTGGAAACTGGGTCCCGACAAATGTGTTAGAGCAGCTTCAGTTTATCTCACCAGAAAAGAATATTTCTTTCTAGTACTGAGGTGATTTGCTTAGATTGGCGTGTTATTTGCACATGCGTTGTACGGACTAGGGAAGAAAGTTTTTTCCAAAATAAGCATCAGTTGTTAGTGCCACGCCTCTGCTCTTTGTTTCTAGAGCTCTGCTTTTTCCGACTTCAACATTTTGTGGCTTTTGTCGTTTACTAAGTATGTACCAACTTGCCCAACAAGCAACTTTCCTGAACATAATTTTTCGTGTCTTCACTTGCTTTGTTTAGGTCGTCATAATTCTTTTTTACTCCATGCTTTTTTTCTTCATTTCTTCACAGCCTCATACAAGTGCCTGCCTGGTAATCCTCGCTGCACTGAATATTCTTCGCTGCGACGACAAAAGTGCAAGTTCCAACTAGAGGGTGACAGGGACAAGGCGCTTCCTTTGGCAGACATGGTGATTTTCTAGCTCACCTGATCTATTCCTCTGAGGTCAGTGTTCCTAAGTGGCATTCCCACACACGGCTGGCTTCAGCCCAATAAAACTTTGGCTCCAATGACCTATAGAGATCTGGTGTGTAATGTACAACACATTGACCCTATGGTCCACGCAACTATATGCGCACTGCATTTCAGGTCTTCATTGCTTCGCTAAGTTATCGCAAGGGATCGGCATGGCCACGTTCGGTTGAATTCATCAGATAATTATGCGGTGGAGGTACATTGCAGCAAAGTTGCCTTTCAAGCTCTCATCGCAGTCTCAAATGCATTGACTCAAGAAAAACGCTGGTTCCGACATGAAAATTATTGATGTGGCAGAAGTGGGGGCTCATTTAATGCTGTTTTGGGCCTTAAATTTATGCATAAAGTGTGAAAATTGGACGCTGAAAATTTTTAGCATCCAGAATTTCAAATGATGTTGAGAACGATGAGGCAGATTTGGAACTCCTGACTTCATGAGAGCACTACCTTGTCTGCCACATCAGCTGGGCTTCCTCAAAAGTTGAAAAAGAAGAGCATCTCCGCCTTTCACATGGGAAGTAATGTCGGCAACACCTTGGTTGCACCAAATCACGTGCTAGTGCTATTCAGTCTCGGCAGTGCTTCCTTCTTGGTAAGACAACTGTGAAACACAACCCCCATTAACTTAGCACAAAGGTTCTTAAAGTGAGTTACGCAGGAAGCCACTGATAAGTTTTCTGCACTCGCCCACTCAACTAACTTAGATGGCGAGGTGTGTGATCGACCTAGGGAACCTCCACTATTCACAGCCGATAACCATATCTCAGTCCTTTTATTTAAAAATTAAAAAAGCTTGGCAGGGGGTGCAGGGTTTCTTGGCACTTAACGTAGCTTGTAAGGGTTTCCTGGTACCAACAAGCTTGAGAACCCCTGATCTAGAGAAAAGAAAACACTTTCATGTTGTTATGTCTCGTAAGAATATGCTTAGGAATCCTTTCCAACTTCCTTTCCTGCTATTTTGCTTCGAACTATTCAAAACAGATTCAAGAAATATTTGATTCGGACTCACACCTAAACATTCGAATTCACTTTGCACACAAAAACTCGCTATTTGCACAGCTCTAGATTTTTTTTTGTTCTGCTATGGATCAACTAGCACACTGCTAAAGTATATTTGAAGCAGCATGCCTATGGCTCGCACATAGCTTGGGCTAATGTATTGATTAGAGGAAACAGAAGAGGCTGTTCATACAGCTGAACTCTCATCTCAAACAGCTCCATTGTGTTGAATCGTCATTCCAAGCTCATAATAAAGCACCACTGACTTCAATCAGAAACAAAAGAAGACTCTTCGTTTCCTTCACCAAAAAAATACTTGTTTTTAGTGAGCTTCTGTTGTGCAGTGAGGACACCAACCACCCTTTTATCTCATTTATGTGCCCACCATCAACTTTCATGTGCTCACAATATCTAACGTTCACAGGACTATTTTCCAACTATCAAATACATGCGATATCTTATCTTGACCAGACTGATTATATCATTAGTGTAGGACCCTGGGCCCACTTGTACCCGATGCTGGCACTTGTTCTTTAAGAAAGGTTCTCGTCACAAATATATTTCTTAGAATATTTTTTCTATTCACTCAGATGACCTATCAGCCGTTACAGGGACGGTCAAAAGCACCACTTCTTAAAGTCCAACGTTACATAAAAAAAAAAAGAATGAAAAGACTACATAAGCTAATGTATGAAACAAAAAAAAAACATAATCATACATCAGCGGAATAGTTCGTCCATACAACAATCAAATTATACAAGATAAATGCAAAGATAAGAAGCAATGTCACAAAACATAACTAAGCATATTAGTACAAAAACACACAGCAGTACATAAGTGAAAAATTTATACATACTCCTGCACATAAATTACAAAACAAACAATGCTAACAAATGATCGACATAATAGAAAACATCCATAAACAAATGACCCTCAACCATATAATAGAAAGCATGCATACATGCATTTTTTTCTATTTAGTTAGCATGCATCTTCAATGGTATGCTAGGTTATTCTCAAATTGACCTGCGCTGATGCTTTCTCGTGTTAGCGGCAGCAAATCAATCGATTTTTTTATTGGTTCTAGGGAAGAAAGCAAATAAGTAACTGTTAACTATCATCTGAGGCACTTTGAAAGTTCCATAGCTTCTTCACACTATTCTTGTCATGCTATCAAGCAGCCTTAAATTTGTTTTTCTTGAGAAGGTAAAAAACCTTAACCTTGCTATGTGCCTGCATTCAGCAAGTGTGGGCAAGTTCAGAACCGAGTATCTTGGTAATAGAATCTGTACGAGAGCATGATTAAAGGGGTACTGACTCAATAATTTTAGCCTCACATTTTTTTTGCTGCACTGTATTGCTAGAGGCCTGTTAGTCGTAACACGGCACATTGTTTGCTGCAGAGTGCAACAGATAATTAATTACAGGCTTCTCGTTACCAACCAGTCTCAGTTCTGGTTTGAGAGAGTTCTAAATATGACAAGCCGTTCAGTGCAACTTAGAGATGTGCACGGGCTATGGGTAGCCCGAAAGCCCGAGCACATCCCGCCCGCGGTCTTTTCACCTCGGACCCGGGCCTGGCTC